GTAGTAGTACTGGAAAAGCTTTTGGGGATGAGTCAGGTGTGAAAGTTAAATGAGCTAATGGATATGAGCTGCCAGTGCAAGAATCTGTTTAAAATTCAGACTTTTCATGGTGTTAAGTAAAAAAATACTATTTGTATTGTTGTTTTTTTAAATCTTGGTTACAAACTTAAATGCACACTGGCCACTGAAGTAAGGTGTAAGGCAAATGAGATGAGTGAAACAAACCAATGTTAAGTGTGGGGTTGTGGTGTGGAATGTGGCTGAGTGTTCAGTCATAAGATTATAACCAGTTGTTTTTATTGCCAACCTCCTGAAATGCAGAAGCTAACCCAGACTTGAAAAATAAATTTTCTCTTTCTTAAATTTTATATTCAAATTTGTAAATATTTTTAAATGTTGCCAACCAATTCAGATTCTTTTAAGACATTGCCTGAGCCAAATAAAATATGTCCTAGCATGACTACTAGTTTAATATTCTAATACTAGCACACTTCCTCATTTTCAGGATGGGAAAATTGAATATCCCTTATGGTAAACTGTTTACTCAAAGGAGTACCTTTCCTTAGTGCCATTGCCTCAAGTCCCAGTTCGTTTTCAATTTTTCAGAAATTCTTTTAAAATGAGCTCGTAGCCCTAGCTGGTTTGGTTCAGTGGATAGAGCATCAGCTGCAGACATAAGGGTCCTGGGTTTAATTCCAGTCAAGGGCACATGCCTGGGTTGCAGGCTTGATCCCCAGTGGGGGGACATGCAGGAGGCAGCCAATCAATGATTCTTATCATTGATGTTTCTGTCTCTCTCTTGCTCTCCCTTCCTCTCTGAAATCAATAAAAATATATTTTAAAAAATAAAATGAGCTCATAAATTATCTGTAATTGCTTAATTAGTTTGGGATACCCTAAAGCAAATGTTTGCATGCCTTCATATATGCCAGTATTGTTTTTTATTGTAAATGATATAAAAGTGGAACAAGAAATAATGTGATAGGTAAGTTTTGACTCTTTTAATACTTGACAATATTTATTATATTATGGTTGCCTTCTTTGACTTGATGCTATACAATTTCATTTGTTGCTCTGAGTAGTAAATGAAAATGTCAAGTATGGTAAAAGTAGTTGTCTGTATATGTCCTACCAGTAATCATACAAACTTTTTATATATGACACATTTCACTATCACACATACTAATTGTGTTACTAGGAAGAAACATTTAACAATATTAACATCACTTTGAAATCAAGTAATTAAGAACTTACATTTTTGAAACAGTTGTAAAGTGATTGGAATAATTTTAACAAGCACATGCCATCTCAAATATATATATGAGAAATGTGATGTACAAGTAATTATATCGACGCATTAGAAAATAGGATTTTAGCCTAAGAAAATGAGGATATAAATATAAAGTAAGTTCAATTAAAATCTTTACTGTAAATTAAAAATATTGTTGTGACCACTTGGGCTGTTTCCAGATCTTAGCTATCCTATATAATAAAGAGCTAATATGCTAATTAGACTGGACAGCGGAACAACCTTCCAGAATGACCTTCCAGAACGACCAGTGGGCGGGGGGCAGGCCCGCAAGGCAGCTGGGGCTGCGAGGGCCTATGTTTGCATGAATTTCATGCATTGTGCCTCTAGTTATAAACACTGCTATGAACATAGAGGTGCATATATTCTTTCTGATTGGTATTTCAGGCTTAGGATATATTCCTAGAAGTAGATTCACTGGGTCAAATGGCAGTTCCATTTTTAATTTTCTGAGGAAATCCCGCACTGTTTATGGTGGTTTTAATTTACATCTCTCTAATGACTAGTGACTTTGAGGATTATTTCATGTTTCTTGGCCATTTGTATGTCCTCTTTGGAGAAGTGTCTATTTAGGTCTTCTGACCATTTTTTTAAAATTTATTTACTTTTTTTATTGCTTAAAGTATTACAAAGGGTATTAAATATGTGGTCCCCCCCCCCACCTTTGACAATCCCTTGGCCTCCCCTACCCCCCAGTGTCTTACGTCCATTGGTTATGCTTATATGCATGCATACAAGTCCTTCGGTTGATCTCTTACCCCCCTCCCTCCTGCCCCCCAACCCTTCCCGGCCTTCCCGCTGCAGTTTGACAATCTGTTTGAGGCAGCTCTGCCTCTGTATCTATTATTGTTCATAAGTTTATAATGGTCTTTATTATCCATGAATGAGTGAGATCATGTGGTATTTTTCCTTCATTGACTGGCTTATTTCACTTAGCATAATGCTCTCCCGTTCCATCCATGCCGTTGCAAATGGTAAGAGTTCCTTCTTTTTTACAGCAGCATAGTATTCCATCATGTAGATGTACCACAGTTTTCTAATCCATTCATCTACTGATGGGCACTTAGGCTGTTTCCAGATCTTAGCTATGGTGAATTGTGCTGCTATGAACATATGGGTGCATATATCCTTTCTGATTGGTGTTTCTGGTTTCTTGGGATATATTCCTAGAAGTGGGATCACAGGGTCAAATGGGAGTTCCATTTTTAGTTTTTTGAGGAAACTCCATACTGTCTTCCATAGTGGCTGCACCAGTCTGCATTCCCACCAGCAGTGCACGAGTGTTCCTTTTTCTCCACATCCTCTCCAGCACTTGTCGTTTGTTGATGATAGCCAGCCTGACAGGTGTGAGATGGTACCTCATTGTTGTTTTGATTTGCATCTCTCAGATGATTAGTGACTTTGAGCATGTTTTCTCTGCCCATTTTTTTATTGGAGTATTTGTCTTCCTTTTGGTGAGTTGTATGAGTACTTTATATGTTTTGGAAGGTAACCCCTTATCAGATGTATCATTGGCAGACATGTTCTCCCATACAGTGGGTTCCCTTTTCATCTTGTCTTTTAGTTGTATTTTTGAAGTGGTTGTGCAAGGCAGCAATTTCAGGTGTTTACCTATGCCGCCATCTTGGTTTCTCCCTCTCCCTTTTCATTTTGATACTGGTTTCTTTTGCTGTGCAGAAGCTTTTAATTTGATGTAGTCCCATTTGTTTACTTTTTCCTTTGTTTCTCTTGCCCTAGGTGTTGTATCAGTGAAAATTCTGCTATGTGAGATGTCTGATATATATTTTTAAAATTTTGGGTTTTTTTAGAAAAGCAAACAAGAATTTATTGACCATAGCAAACATATCATGAGGACCCTTAGAAGTTAAGGGAAATGTGCCTATGGGGGAAGATAAGGGGAAAGGAGAAAGCCCAATTTTTTTAAATTATATTTTTCTTGATTTCAGAGAGGAAGGGAGAGTTAGAAACATCAATGATGAGAGAGAATCACTGATCAGCTGCCTCCTGCATGCCCCCTACTGGGGATTGAGCCTGCAACCCCGGGCATGTACCCTGACCAGGAATTGAACCGTGACCTAGTTCATAGCTCAATGCTTAACCACTGAACCACACCAGCCAGGCTGATGTCTGATATTTTGCTGCCTACATTTTCTTCTAGGATTTTTATAGTTTCACAACTTATATTTAAATCTTTTACCCAGCTTATTCTTGTGTATGGTGTAAGTGGGTGGTCTAGTTTCATTTTTTGCATGTACCTGTCCAATTATCCCAGCACCATTTATTGAAGAGACTATTTTTTACTCCATTGTATGTTCTTGCCTCCTTTGTCAAATATTAATTGAGCATAATGGCTTGGGTCAATTTCTGGGTCCTCTGTTCTGTTTCATTGATCTATATGCTTGTTCTTGTGCAAGTACCAGGCTGTTTTGATTATAGTGGCTTTGTAGTATAGCTTGCTATCGGGTATTGTGATCCCTCCAACTTTGTCCTTCTTTCTCAAGATTGCTGTAGCTCTCCAGGGTCTTTTTTGGTTCCATATAAATTTTTGGAATATTTGTCCTAGATCTGTGAAATATGCCGTTGGTATTTTAATAGGGACTGCACTGAATCTATAGAATGCTTTGGGTAGGATGGACATGTTAATTATGTTAATTCTACCATCCCATAAACACAGTATATTCTTCCACCTGTTTATAGCTTCTATCTCTTTTTTCAGTGTTCTGTAGTTTTCCAAGCATAAGTCTTTTACCTCCTTGGTTAAGTTTTAAAAATATATATCATTATAATTTCATGATGAATTTTTTAAAGAAAAAAATAATTTCTAGTTCTGGACACTAAAAAGGTCTACAAGCAACCACAATTCAGTAGCAGTTGTACCCCTAGCACCCAGATTATGGGCTTTAAATACTAGCACTCTTAGGAGAAATGATAGATTGCAGAACGGAAGCAGGAAATAAGCAAGACAAGCCTGCAACATCTCGTCATGCCTGGAAGCAATTGAAGACTATTAGGTTCATATCAGAATGAAATAGTCAATTTTGAAGAAGTTTTCATTGGACAAAGATGGGACGATTTGAACATCAAAAATAATAATTACTGCAATAGATTGAAATGCATTGAGTACATTAAAAAGTAAGTTTATAATGATCTTTTTTAAGAAATCTAATTGGGTATTCTGAGGTTGCTAAGACAGTGACTCATTACTCTGAAAATTGGATAAAGAGAATGAATTAAGCATTTCTTTTTCCTGTTCTATAACTATGATTCAGGCCATGAATCAGGATAATTTCATAGTAGATGAATTAATGTTGTTCTTTATAGGAAAATCGCAGTTAATAAAAGCAAAGGAAATTATTGAGTTAGAAAAACCAGCATTTTGCAACCCTTTATGTAAAAGTGAATCTCTACCTGTAGTTTTCAACTGGGAGTGACTTTGCCCCCCAGAGGACAAATGTCTGCAGACAATTTTGATTTTCACACCAGTGGTGTGGGGAGGGGAGCGCTTGGCATCTAGTGGGTGAAGACCAAGGATGCTATTGCATCCTAGAATGCACAGGACAGCTCTCCACCACAAAGAATTCTTTGACCCAAAATGTCAGTTGTGCCAAGGTTGAGAAATACTGATCTAAACAGTAAGTAATACCAGTGGCTGCTAAACAGTAAGGTATAAAGGTTCATAGTGAAATTTATGATGAGTAGAGTAAGCTGACACCTCACTTAAAAACCCAACCCATTGGGGAGTCACCGCCTCTGGACGTCTGCTCGCTCTCTGCGCTCCTCCCCGGGGCGGCCTGCAGCTCCAGGCGGCAGTAGCATGCGCATGTGAGATGCGGTGGAGCACGCTGGCGCCCGGCAGCCGCCTGCCACACCGCCTCCATAAACACTTGTGTAGGACTCGTTCGTCTCGCTGAGGCCCCGGGCGCCGCCATGGAGGCCCCACCGGACCCCGTGCTCCTTGGCCGCACTGTGGGCCCCGGAGGTAGCAGGGCTCCGCCAGGAGCAGGAAAAGGTAGTCACCTGCTGCCAAGAGAGGATCCAGCACTGGCAGCAGGTGGGTGGAGGACAACTACAGTGCCCTGCAGGAGCGGCTCAGCACCCTGCCTGACAAGCTGTCCTACAGCATCGTGGTACCATTTGGCCCGTTTGCCTTCATGCCAGGAAAACTCATCCATACTAATGAAGTCACTGTTTTACTGGGGGACAATTGGGTTGCCAAGTGTTCCGCAAAGCAGGCCGTGGGCTTAGTCAAGCACCGGAAAGGACATGTAAGAAAAACAATAGATGATTTTTAAAAAGTGATGACAAATTTTGAATCCAGAGTTGAATTTACAGAAGATTTGCAGAAAATGAGTGATGCTGCAGGTGATATTGTTGACATAAGAGAAGAGATTAAAAGTGACCTCGAGTTTAAAGCAAAACACCGAATTGCTCATAAACCTCACTCCAAACCCAAAACTTCAGATAGTTTTAAAGCGGATTTTGCAAATGTTGAATCCAAGGATCTGCTCGCGGACCAGGAGCTGTGGGCTCGGCTGGAAGAACTGGAGCGACAGGAGGAGCTGCTGGGCGAACTTGAGAGGCAGCCTCCCACTGTGACTGCAAACGGAGAAGACACAGCGTTTTCCGAAGAGGAGAAGGAAGACGCCAGCACACGTGTGAACGGGACGTATGCAGCTCGGCCCGCGGACGACACTGTTGCGGAGCTGCTCCGCGGGCCGAGCTGCGCTGTGAACGGCTCTCGTTGTCCCCTCAGTGATGAGGCTGAGGGTGGTGACGACGACGATGCTCTTGGGTCAGGGGCCAGCTCTACCAGCCATATATATACTTTTCTCACACCGTCGAACCCAAGCGGGTTCGAATCAATACTGGGAAAAACACCACCTTAAAATTCAGTGAGAAGGAAGAAGCCAAACGGAAGCAAGAGAACAGCTGTGGTGGCCACCCGGCCCCGGAGCTGCCCACGATCAGGACCCCTGCGGACATCTACAGGGTCTTCGTGGACCTGGTGAACCGGGCGTATGTCCCTCAGAAGTCCATCCTGAAGTCATGCAGCCGCGAGAACAGCGTGTGCAGCGACACCAGCAAGGGCAGTGCCGCCGACTGCGAGGAGCCCGGGGGCAGCGACGCCGGCGAGAGCATTTTGGAGGAGCAGGAGCAGCTTCCAGAGATGCTCTTGCCCACGCCCAGGACGCTGGGACGCTTGAGTCTTTCTGGAACTGTAATAGAGAAAGAATTGTCGCCCTGCCTCGCCCCGCACCCGGCCGCGGTCCACCCTGTGCTGCCCACGATCCCTGAGCGGAGAGAAGTCCCGTCAGAAGGGTCGGAGGTCACCAAGCGGGTGTCCACGTTCAAAGCTGCCAGGCTAGCAGAGGACCTAGGCTGCCAGGCAGTGGGCGCTTGCGCCCTGCAACCTCGTGCTGCATCATCGAGAGTACGTATTGCTGAGGCTCCTCGGAGAGTGGAAGGAGGTGTCCTGAGTTAATTTGGAAGCAGATTCTCCTGTTCATCGGTGGAGATGAGGGTCCGAGTGAGCCCAGGACTTCCCAGTCCGCTTGCTCGTTGTCCTCTGGCACCGGTGACACCGCTGCTGCCTCTGATGCCGCGGCTCTCGGATCACTTCTCAGAGAGGATGTTCCTGGGCGTGGTTGGTGTTTCGAACTAAACGCAGGCAGTTCCGTGCCAGCTGTGATGTGCACACCGCATGGACCATGTAGCAGAAACGTAAGATTCAGACCCAGCAGCCTTTCCTGCTTCAGCCTTTGAAAGGCCCTTTAAGAAACCTTCTGGTGGGTTCTGCAGCGAGGTGCCCTTTAACCCCGGGACTGCCGCTGTCCTCTCAGCAGAAGCTCCCCGTGGCCTGTGGGCAGGTTTCTTGGTCGGAAGAATGGGATGTTGTAAAACTTTTTTTTTAAGTAAAAATTTTATGAAACTTGAAGAAGAAAAACCAACCCACTGATCTTAAGTGAGAAACTAGTATTATGTACCTCCTGAGGTATACAGTAGGAAACACATGGTATATTCCTTATGAAATGTGCTATTCCAAGTACTTTAACCTGCGTCTATTAAGCTTCTAGATCTAACTCACGTTTATAGGATACATAAATGTTGACCCCATCAGGAAGCTATCAACTCTGTTCACAATGTGGGAAGAATATTCTTTAAGACAAATGACCCAATTTCTTCAACAAATAAATGGGATGGAGGAAGGAAAAAAAGGGGGGAGGGAATGTGATCAGAACTGGTATGGATTTGAGGGTTGTATGACCAAGTGCAGAGTATGGATCTTATTGAACAAATGAGTAAATCGGGGGTGATTTGGTACTAGTATTAGGTCATATTAAGGAATTACTGTCATTTACATTGATGTCATAGTATCATGGGAGTGTTTAAACTCATCTTAGAAATGCATACGTGAAATATTTATATTAAATTATCTGAGGTTTTGGTTTTTAAAGCTATCAGGTAAAGCCATATAAAAGGAATATTGTTAGTTAAAACTAGGTGATGAAGATGTGGAAATTATTTTACTGATCTCCACAATAAAATAAAGTAATTAAAATTCTATGCTTTATATGTATTCTATTTTATTTTGGGATTCTTTGATAATCTGTATGCAATGGAACATTTTATAATTTTAGATACTGTTTATGTGGTACTTACTAGTATTTTTTTATGTTTGCGAATTCAAGTACCTTTGAAAAATGTTTTATGAAATGACTTTCAGAATCCATTCATGGCATTCTAAAAACCATCTATGTCTTCTATTTATTTTAATCTGTACATATTATTTAGTATGCTGTTTTACAGACATTTTTTAAAATCTATTGAAAGTAGTGCCATACTCTTAAGAAAATTCGTTCATGTTTAATGTATTAACCTCTTACCAAAAGAAGTGATATATTCCACATCCAATCGATTAATCTCTTCTCTCTTATTTTTAAATTTAGTTCGATTGTTTCCACCCTGCTAGCTCTTATGGATGGATTGGACAGCAGAGGAGAAATTGTGGTCATTGGTGCTACCAACAGATTGGATTCTATTGATCCTGCTTTACGAAGGCCTGGTCGCTTTGACAGAGAATTTCTTTTCAGCTTACCTGATAAAGATGTAAGAATTTAAGTAACATCACTCAAATTTTGACAAAATATGTCACCCTTATCATGAACAAGTTTTGGTACAGTGAAAATTTGAAGGTTGAGTTTTGTATGTTCTGAAGCAAAGTTCTGTGATTAACACCCAAATATGTATGTATATATTTTTAGGGAGTATTGCTCTAAAGAAAATAAGTCAGATAATTTATTATTTCTTTTTTAAAATAATGCCTCCTTAAAAATACTCTTAAAATTCTTTCAATTTGAACACAGTCTTTGAATTTAATCATACTATTTTGTTTTGCTTCAGAACATATGGCAAATGGACAGTCAGTCTTTAGCCAATGTATTAGCCTTGGCTTTTTCATGAGTATCACCATGTTATTTTAAAACCACTTAATCTTTTGAAAATCAAGCAGAAAATATGGTAGAGCTATCAGCACTCTTAAAAATAGTTTTATTGATTTTATTGATTTCAGAGAGGAAGGGAGAGGGGGAGAGACACATCAATGATGAGAGAGAATCATGGATCGGCCCCTCCTGCACACCCCACACTGGGGATCGAGCCTGCAATCCAGGGATGTGCCCTGACCGGGAATCGAACCATGACTTCCTGGTTCCTAGGTCAACGCTCAACCACTGAGCCAGGTTGGCCAGGCTAACAGTTCTTAATATGTACCAGAATGAACAATAGTTATTTACTTTCTTTCATTCACTTTTATATGAATGAAACTTGAGTGCTATAAATGTAAATGTGTTTAATATAAAGTTCTTAAACTTGTACGAATACTTATTTTTTTTTACTATTTTATATTTCTATTTAGGTACTAGAGGCCCGGTGCACAAAGTTTGTGCATGGGGTGGGGGTTCCTCAGCCCGGCCTACACCCTCTCCAATCCGGGACTCCTCGGGGGATGTCCAACTGCAATCAGACATCCCTCTTGCAATCCAGGACCATTGGCTCCTAACTGCTCACCTGCCTGCCTGCCTAATTTGCCCCTAACCCCTCTGCCTGCCTGCCTGATCGCCCCAACCCTTCTGCCTGCCTGCCTGCCTGATCGCCCCTAACTGCTCTCCCCTGCCGGCCTGATCACCCCTAACTGCCTCTGCCTTGGCCCCCACCACCATGGCTTTATCCCGAAGGACGTCTGATCTATCCGGTCTAATTAGCATATTACCCTTGTATTAGTATAGATTGATATCTTTAACATTTTTAAAAAATTTTTTAAAAATATATTTTATTGATTTTTTACAGAGAGGAAGGAAGAGGGATAGAGAGTTAGAAACATCAGTGAGAGAAAAACATTGATCAGCTGCCTCCTGCACACTCCCTACTGGGAATGTGCCTGCAACCAAGGTACATGCCCTTGACAGGAATCGAACCTGGGACCCTTGAGTCCGTAGGCTGACGCTCTATCCACTGAGCTAAACTGGTTAGGGCGATATCTTTAACATTTTAGATAATTAAAAGTATTTTAAATTGAAATTGTTCTAATCTGAATAGCACTTACTTTATAATAGATGTAAAAAAAATGTTTTTATTTGTAGGCTCGAAAAGAAATTCTGAAGATCCACACCAGGGATTGGAATCCTAAACCACTGGACATATTTCTAGAAGAACTAGCAGAAAACTGTGTTGGTAAACATTGCTTTTAAGCATTAAAAGGAATACATGCATTTCAAAGATATATAATCTTGAAATGTTATAGTTAAAGAAATGCAAGGTTATATTTGTTTCTTATCTCTACTGTTCCCTTCCTACAAAGTTCGGATATGAAATAGAGATATTTGACAAATTAGCTGTTGGGGATTTTGAGAGCAAAGTAGGTAATAATAGGTATCTTTTGCTGTTTACAGTTTTCTAGTCATCCTGTTGAGCATTCTACATATATTTCAGGTAATTCTCACATCAGTCCTATAAAATAGGTAACATTATTCCCATTTTACAAATGTAGAAATGGCTGACAGAGCATACATGATTCTCCAAAGAGCTCACATCTAGAAAATGACAAACTGGAATTTGAAACTTGTCTGTGATTTTAAAACTGTTGCTCTTGACCTCTATGCTATATTAGTATTTGCCTATTTCACTAACAAAAGTTGATTTGTTGATGGTTATCACCACCATATTAGCCTTCTTACTCCTACATATTTTGCTACTATGTTGTTAGGGTGATTTTTAATTTTAACCATAGTCATGCTAATAGGATGGTAGTTTACTATTCCTTTTTTTCCTCTTTTTTTGCCTTGGGTAGGATACTGTGGTGCAGATATTAAGTCAATATGCTCTGAGGCTGCTTTATGTGCTCTGCGTCGACGCTACCCACAGATCTATAACACCAGTGAGAAACTACAGTTGGATCTCTCTTCAATTACTATCTCAGCTAAAGATTTTGAGGTAGCTATGCAAAAGATGATACCAGCCTCCCAAAGAGCTGTGACATCACCTGGGCAGGCACTGTCCACCATTGTGAAACCACTCCTGCAAAGCACTGTTCACCAGATCTTAGAAGCCCTTCAGAGAGTATTTCCACATGCGGAAATCAGAACAAATAAAGCACTAGACTCCGGTATGAAATTTGATCAATTATTTAAAGTTAATTTTCATAATCATAAAGCTAAATGTTTTATACATCTCAGAAATGTTTCTTTATACACATCTTGAAAGGAACTTGGTCGTGCTTTGCTTGGATATTTTAAGTTTGAAATGCATTTTTATATTTACAGCAGGTCCTCAAATAACATTGATTCATTTAACATCGTTTCATTATAACAATGATGAGATGCTATAGGAACTTAACTCTTGTTTATATCAATTAGCTTATGGTAAAATTGTTTTTTATACATGGTTTTGCTTAAAGTCACAGAACCTATTGACTGTTAAATGAGGACTTAACTGTACTTGTTATTCATATCTACACAATATTTTTGATTCTCTAAAAAATGTCATTGATTTACACTGATTTGCTAACTGAAGCACTGCATAAAAATTTCCTTTGCAATCCAGAAAAGTTACTAATGTACAATTTTTTGTTTGTTTATAGATATTTCTTGTCCTCTGCTAGAAAGTGACTTGGTATACAGTGATGATGATGTTCCATCAGTATGTGAAAATGGGCTTCCTCAAAATTCTTTTAATAAAGCAAAGGAAAATTTTAATTTTCTTCATTTGAATAGGTACATTTCCCTTCCAAATGAATTGTGTGTGTGTGTGTGTGTGTGTGTGTGTGTGTGTGTAAATTCCCTAAAACTAAATGAGATAGTTGTTGAAAGATAAAAAAAATGCCAACTAATCTTTCTTTTTTTAATTAAAATATAAAAAAAATTGTTCTTGCTATTGTCACTATAGTAGAAATACCACTGCATATGTATTCTTTTTTAAAATACATATATGTGTGTGTGTGTGTGTGTGTGTGTATTTATATTCGATTTCAGAGAGGAAGGGAGAGGGGGAGATAGATAGAATCATTGATGATAGAATCATTGATGAGCTGCCGCCTGCATCTCCCCCGCTTCCCCCTACCCCACTGGGGACTGAGCCCGCAACCTGGACATGTGCCCTCCTGGGTCATAGGTAGACGTTCAGCCATGGATACATACTGGCCAGGCTGAGTATGTATTCTTAAAAATTTGTGGAAGTTATTTCCAAAAACCATGTGAATCATGCCGATATGATTGCCCAATGAAACAAACATTTTTGACTATTTTAAGTACATAGTTGGTAGTTTGGGAGAAAAATTTAAACTTTATATTTTTCTAAAACATAGCTTATTACTCATTTCTTTCAGAAATGCTTGTTATCAACCTATGTCTTTTCGACCAAGAATATTGATAGTGGGAGAACCAGGGTTTGGGCAAGGTTCTCATTTGGCACCAGCTGTCATCCATGCTTTGGAAAAATTTGCAGTGTATACATTAGACATTCCTGTTCTTTTTGGAATCAGTACTACATCTCCTGAAGAAACATGTGCCCAGGTAATTCATTGTTGCCTAGATAAGCTATAAGACAAAGGAAACTTCCAGAGACAAAATGTAGAATTGCCTCATTTTTATTTTTATTTTTTATTTTTTTGTGGTAATTTTCTTTGTTTACTGATTTGTAACTTTAGGTTTAAAAAAAAAATAAAAATAAAGCATAAATTTCTTGGTCATTAAAGAGTATGGGTTTAAATCCCATTTTCACCACTTAATATCTTAGTGACCTTAAGAGAGTTATTAGATCTCTGCCTCATATTCCTCATTTACAAAATGGAGATAATAGTATTTACCTTGTATGGCTGTTGTGAGAATTGTACTTGAAAGAGTGACTGCTATGTTGTAAGTACTAAGATATTTTGCTGCTTCTGTTTTTGCTATTTATATAAAAAAAATTAATGAAAAGTTGTTTTATACTTATATTTTTATATTTAACCTTGGTTACAGTAGAAAAGTCTTCTATATATCTTGAGTTGTTTTCTAATTGCTTGAAACAGTTATGTTTTCTAACAATGAGACAAAACATTTATAAAAAGTATTGAGGGAAGCATTTTAGTTATTTAGTGAGGGTTTTTTGTTTTATTTTATTTTTTCCTATCACCCTTTACTCCTCTATGCCCCCTTCCACCTCCACCCACCCCGCTATTTAAAAATTTTGATGGATTTATATGATAATTCTGGGAAGTTAAACATTGTTCCAAACTTAGCATTAAAAGCTAGCATTACTGATGTGCTGATTCTCTAACTGAATGTAAATCTTTTTCTCTCTACTAGATGATTCGTGAAGCTAAGAGAACAGCACCGAGTATAGTGTATATTCCTCATATCCACTTGTGGTGGGAAATAGTTGGACCAACACTCAAAGCCACATTTACCACATT